GGAGCCCAGCAGGTCAAGGCTGCGGTGGCCAGGAGTGGCCACTGCACCCCAGTCTGGGCGACGGTGAGACTCCAACTGAAAAAAAAAAAAAAAAGCATTGACTAAATAAATACAAGCAAAAGCAGCATTTGTTCCTGTGATCAAATAGCAGCAGATCTATTCATTGATGTCCTCACCAGATGTAACGTGTGTATATTGATCTAGAACTGGAGAGAGGCAGTGTGAGGGAAACTTTCTTGTTTTTTAAAATAAAATAGGAGTTTCGTCATTGTAACTGTTTTAATCCCAACTGGATGAGAAGAGGATGAGATGCAGTTCTCCCGATTTTCTTATTCATTTAAAGTATCTTGCATTACTTTTGAGAACCCACTACCTTGCCTAAAATATTGAAAGTGGTAACAAGTGACTCAATAATTCACGAGGAGTTATCACGTGCTGCATGTCCGTCGGTTCACTGCTTCACCAATTTTCCATAATGTACTTTGCTTTGGAGATGACGAGTCCTTCCTGCGGAAGGAGTAAACCACAAGATGGGACTGCTGTGAAGCTGCCAAAGTGTTCTACTATAGAGGGAGGGAGGGTCTCATCTTGAGGGTTTTCTTTTTTTCTGATGGCGCTTGGAGGCACTCACCACTTTCTCACAGATGGCGAATAATGATAAAGAACAGACACATCATCTCCTTGGGGTTTTCTGTCCCTCAGAGCGATCTGCAGATGTTCCTGGCACTGCTGGATTTTGAGGTGCATCCTTGAGTAGGATTCCAGAATGATGCTTTCAAGTACCCGTTAAGGCATCGTGGGTCAGACCCCAGGGACTATGACTGAGTGTGGAGAAGGAGCACTGTGAGATGCACTATGAGAAACGACGTATAGGGTGTGTGCAGAGTATAAAGGCAGTAGTAGGTGAAACATTTAATGATAAAGAAACAAAAGAGTAGAAACCACCCTAACTCACCATGGGCATTTCTAGTCTGATTTTACGGAAGAACAAGTGCGTAGCTTTCCCAGCATTGTGCCTGGCCCATGGCAAGTGATCAGCAAATGACTGATTGAAAAATTAAGTGAATGCCAGGAGGTAGCAATCTCAGGGATCGTTTTTTTTTTTTTCCTGCCATATAGAGGTATGGCAGTGTACTATTGTGTTACGTTGCATGAATCAAAGGAAAGGAAAAAGATGAATTCCTGTACTTTGCTGTATTAGCATCTGATCTCATTTGTCAGTCATTGCTTTCTTTTTCCTTTGTAAAAAAAAAATTAACATTTATATAGTTTATCTTTCTTATAAATAAGGGGATATATATAAATTAACATTTATATAGTTTATCTTTCTTATAAATAAGGGGATATATATTAATTTTAGCAACATAAGAGACTATATGTCTATGAAAAGAGGAAATTAAAAATTACAATCCTGGGACAACCCCTTCGGGTTCCCTCCTGCTGTAGGAGCTTTTCTGTCCTCTCAACAAATCCTGCTTTCTCAAAAAAAAAAAAAAAAAAAAATTACAATCTTACTGCCCAGCAACAACCACAAAACAATCTTTTGTTTATGTTCTTTAGGCTTTTTAAGGCAAATATATGAAAATTAATATAGATACATACATTTATAAAAATATAACATTCTATTCTATACATGGCATTTTGTAACCTGCTCTTATTTGTGGGTGTACATTACATGTAAATCTGTATCATTGAATATATTAATAATAATCTATTATAAATATGTACCATAATTTGTATACCTAATTATAGACCAATTAGGTATTATTTAAATAAAAGTCTATGGTATTACAAAAAGAATTTCAAATAATAAAGATATTTCCACATTCGGAGTCTCACTCTGTCGCCCAGGCTGGGGTGCAGTGGCACTCTTGCGGCCACTGCCACCTCGAACTGCTGGGCTCAGGTGATCCTGCCACCTCAGCCTTCCAAGTAGCTGGAACCCCAGGTGCATGTCACCACACCCAGCTAATTTTTTGATTTATTGTAGAGACAAGGTCTCACCAAGTTGCCCAGGCTGTTCTCGAACCCATGGGTTCAGGCTGTCCTCTTGACTTGGCCTCCCAAAGTGTTGGGATTACAGGTATGAGCCACCGTGCCCAGCTAAATAATGAGATTCTTAAAGGATGAAGTCATTTCATGGAAGTATAACAAATGCCTAATTTAATCCCTCTCCAGGTAATAAACAGTTCAACAGTTCCTCCCTCCAATCTTTCCTTCCAAAATAATATTGTAATGAGCAGTCTTGGACCCTCACTTGATTATTTCTTTAGGGTCAGTTTCTGGAAGTGAGACTTTTGAGTGAAAAAAATGCATATTTTTAAGGTGTTAATGCAGATTACTGTCACACGACTCTCTGGAGACACAGCACCAGGACACGTGTGGCCACACTGATGACCCTCCTGTTTCCACAGCCCTCTCCAGCAGTGCTGTTGCGTTGAACACTTTATATTTTTGTATCTTTTGTTACCTAGTTCTTTTTCTTCTCGTGTTAATGACTTCCTCATTTTCTTTGGCCATTTTCCCATGTTTTTTGAGGTTGTCAACTGTTTTTTATTGATTAGTATGAGCATTTTGTATGTTATAGATTAGCTTGGGAATACCTGGTAGCTTTACATTACTGAGTTTTCTGGCCAGAAACATATTATGATTCTCTGTTAATTTATCCACTCTCCTTCTTCCACCTCTGCAAAGCTATATGGTTTCTAAATAAACACGCTGTGCATTTCTAGTTACGTTTTAGAATTACATTTTCTGTGTTACTTATGAATTCAAATTTCCCCATCGTATATTCTAAATTATTAATACTGAATTCTGTACCGATCTTGTAATTGGCCATTCTGTAGGAGTTTGGTTGGAATTATATTAAATTCATAGGTTAACCTGGGGAGATGTGTATTCTGTTTGGGTATGTTGTTAAATTCCTCAGTCATTCTTTTCGTCTTTTTTTTTTGGTTGGTGAATTGGATGAGGTATTTGACTTGGGGATATTGAATGTGATTAAAGGGTAAGGTTAATTGCTATTTGGGAAGTCAAAACAAGGAAAACAAAAACAACCTCAGTTTTCCGGGTTCTCTTTTAAGTGTCAGGAGATGAGACAAACTTGTCTAAGCAAAAA